GAACCGTTGCAAAGATCCCAAGCATAAAAAAAAATGTCGTTGTGATTTTCAGGAGAAGGAAAAAATTTGTAACATATGCAATAAAGACTGTATTGAGAAAAGAACTCTTGCTCGATAGCAAGCCTTAGAATTATCAAGTGGGGAAAACGGCTTTTGGGCCTTTGGTAACTATCGATACTTAGGAGCTTTTACTGAACTAAAAGGTGATGATACATTAAATGAGATGAGAGTGGAGGATATGAAGAGAATCGATTATATTGTTGAGAATAATTTAACAGTAGAAGATATATTAAAGAACAAAAAAGATTTGTTCCCACGTAGCTGGGTAAGAAGTCTAAAAGATCTGGAACACTTGATAAAGAAAGAGAAAGAGATTAGAGAAGTAAATTTAAAAGATTCTGGCGTCCATGCACAATTTATATATTCGGTCCAGGTGGATCCGGCAAATTTGGTTTAGTGCAAGAGTTATTTGGTGATATATTATATTCAAAGCCTCAAAGACAAAAGAGTGGTTCAAATTGGTTTGATGGTTACAATAAACACGAAATTGTTTTATTTGATGAATGGTGAGTTTTATATTGACTATTGTTAATTTATATAGAAATTAATTTTTTTTTTTTAGGTACACAACAATCGGGTGGAACGATATCGTTAAGCTATTGAACGATACCGATGAACGTGTTGAAATTAAACATAAAGGCTTCGTTTCTTTTTTAGCAAAATATGTTTTTATGATATCCAGAAAGCCTCTTCAAGAAGCATTCAATTTTGGAAATGGAAATGTTGTTGATAATACAACGGTTTATCACGACTGGGTCAGTTTGAACAAAGATTGGATTTTATAATTCAATTTACTGGAAATTGGAACAATAAAACCACTCAAATTTACTTTCTCAAAGGATCTGAAGAAGATTTTTGAAACATGGTTTTTGATATTGGGTTATGACGAAGTGATCTTTCAGACGATGAAATTATCGAAAAAACAAAAAAATCAGGTTTTAATGATGGTGAACTTTTATTCAAAGATGATAAAGTTTACTGGCGAAAAATTTCTCCGAACATAAAAAGAACTATCTTTGCGACTACCCAAATAGCAAGCCTTTATATTAATATAAATTGGAACTTGAGAATCCTATTGTAGAACTAGACAATTTAGTTTACGATTTTGAGATGAGCGAATATGATTCAGACGATTTAGATTATACAAAAGAGAAAAAATTAAAAAACAAAGCCAACGGCAAACGTAAAGCAAACCAATTAGAAAAAGCGGTTAAAAAAAATAAATCATAGATTTTTATTTCATTAAATAGATAAAATAAAAATTATACAGAATAACCATTTCTATTTCCTGTGATCTTGTCATGTTCCAATTTGAAATCTATTACTTGTTGTTTTAATTTAAACCATTTTACTTTTTCTTTACTATGTTCAAACCAACGAAATCTATAAGTATTGCGTATTTTAGAAAAAGAAATTCTATTATAACTGGAAGTATTATTTTTTTGAAGTTTGCGATTTAAATTATTTTCTCGTGGAGTTGTTTCTCTAAGATTACATTCTTGGTTATCGAGACCATTTCTGTTGATGTGATCGATCATTTTCCATTCAGAATGAATCATTCGATGAAGTTTTCTATTTTTTTTAGAGATGGTGGTTCGAATATAATATATATTGCCTATTTTATCACAACTCCAAATATATTTTTTCATTATGCCATAATTTTTAATATCAATCAAAAATGTAATTTCTTTTTTCTGGGTTTCAACCTCAAAATAATCAACATTATCAATTGATACTTTTCGAATTCGATTATAAAGTTTGTTTTTGTGAGAACCTTTTCCTAATTCTCCAAACGTCCAAAACATTTTGATTGTGAAAGTTGGATGAATTTTTCTCCAAGATGAATTTTGAGATTCAGTCTCCAAGAACAATCTTGTTGATTCAAACATTTTTAAAATTTATTTTTATGAGAATGTCGAAGAAATTAAGAATTTATTTATTTTAATATGAATAAATATTTCGAAAATATTTGCAGTTATTACATCTAAAAAACCATTTTTTTCCGTCGTTTGAATTTCTGAAATAAATTTGTTTCTGTTCTTCAGGACATTTATATAATTCAGAATATTTGAAACCTGAACGATCATACTTAGATATAATGCGTAAACAACCTAAATTAATAATAAAATCTGTGATAAAAATATTATCAAATTTGTTTCCAAATAAATTTAATATGATATTTTCCCAAAAACTAAATATTGGTTTTTCTTTCTTTCCGATCAACATACTCAGACCAGAATAATGATTATGTTTATATTTAAACAAATTAAATAATAGCATGGTTGAATCAAGAGTAAAATTTGACAAATTTTTTTCAAAAAGAGTATTGAATCGGTCTAGAAGTATGGTCTCGAAATAAAATTTAGAGGGTTTATTAATCAATCTCATTTTATCACAGATCCGTTTCGGATATTGTTTTGAGGTGATATTATGTTGATGGTGTGTTATCTTTTCAATAATTTCGTTAGCTAATGTTCAAAGAATTTCGAACAATATATCTTCTGTTAATGTAGTCATTATTGTTTTCTTTAACTTTCTATTTTCTAGAATATTTATATTTATTTTTTTTTTTTAATTTAACAATCTGGGATCGATAATTTCCAAATCAGAATTTTACGGATTCAGCAAATATTAATAAATCATTTCCAAATCAGAATTTTACGGATTTGGTTAAATTATCCAAATCAGAATTTTACGGATTTAGAAAGATGTACAAATTTCCAAATCAGAAAATAATTCCAATTGAAAATACTCCTTGAATTTGATTCGTTGGTAATAGTTTGAAAAAACTCGTATTTGAAAAAACTCAACGAAAAAACTCAAATACTCAAATCTGATTCGTTGGTTTGAAAAAACTCGTATTTAAAAAACTCAACGAAAAAACTCAAATACTCAAATCTGATTCGTTGGTAATGGTTTGAAAAAACTCGTATTTGAAAAAACTCAACGAAAAAACTCAAATACTCAAATCTGATTTGTTGGTAATAGTTTGAAAAAACTCGTATTTGAAAAAACTCAAATTTGTATCACGTTAAATAATTATTTAATTTAAATGATTTGTTGATAATAGTTTCAAATTCTAACACATATTTCAAAGAAAAAATGAAAAAAATAAACTCTCATCCAATTTGGAATTATTTTAATTTTTGTTCTGATAATTATTTTGAATGTAAATATTGTAAACGAAGATATAAAGATCCTTTATTAAATACTATAAAAAAACATTTTATCACAAAACATAATGAAATTTGGAAACAAAT